TTGGGCAATCCTACTTCCGTAGTGATAACTGCCTCGGAAACCCAAGGAGGGGTCGCTAGGAGTCGGGGCCGACTCGATGGCAAACAACAACAACAACAACATGACAAACAGATAAAGGCACAGATTACTGGCATACATACTGAAAACCAAGTACTCAAAGGGAGACAGCACTGTGCTATTTCAGAGACATAAGACACTGGGCCACAAAACGGTACCTAAACACCCTAGTATTCTGAGGTTCTTCCATCCAGAAACCTCTTCAATCTTTGACCTTATGTGTTCTCAGACACACCGTAAGAGAATCGTCACTTGGAAACACACACACACACACACACACACACACACGTGTGTACTGCCATTGAGTCAGATCTGACTCATAGCTACCCCTTTGGGTTTCCGAGGTGGTATTACTACGGAAGTAGATTGCCCAACCTTCCTTCTGAGAAGTGGCTGGTGGGTTTGAACCACCAGCTTTCTGGTTAGCAGTCAAATGCCTTAGGCACTATGCCACCAGAGCTCCTACCTGGAAACAGCACAGATAATAAAAGCATAACTAGGAGATATTGTGGGTTCAATTACAGACCACTGCAATAAAGTGAGTATTACAATAGAACGAGTCACACAAATGTTTTGGTTTTCCAGTGCATATAAAATCTATGTTTACACTATAGTGTAGTCTATTAAGTGTGCAATAGCATGATGAAGAAGTAAGAAATACTGTGAGAATTACAAAAATGTGACACAGACACAAAGTGAGGACACACTGTTGGAAAAACGGCACCAAGAGACTTACTTGGAGCAAGGTTGCCATAAACCTCCAAGTTGTTTAAAGAAAAAAAAAAAAAGCAGTTTCCTGTGAAATACAATAAAATCAGGTATGCCTGCACTCAAGGCTTTGGAGTATGTCATATTTGGGATTGAATCCTAGCTTCACAATTTTCTGAAGAAGGGACCTAGCAAACCTTAGCTTCCTAATCAGTCAAGTAAAATGAAGATCATGACCAACTAACTAATGTTAGTAAGTAAAAGTACAATGCTCAAAAAGTGAAATAGAGAAGGAATTATTCAAATAAGACAACTAAAAATCCCTAAAATATTTCACTACAGTAAAGAACCCAAAAGAAAGAAACCCTACAAAGCATTAAACTGGTAGGTAGAAGCCCTGGATTCCAGATTTGGCTCTGCTATTCTTGCTATATAGCCAGCTTCATTATCCTTGGTACATTGTTTCATGTATCTGGAGTTCTAGTTTTAAAGATGTGTAAAATCAAACCAAAAAACCAAATCCACTGCCATCAAGTCAATTCCAACTCAGAGACTCTTTTAGGACAGGGCAGAACTGTCCCAAGGCTTAGAAACAGACTGTCATCTTTCTCCTATGGAACAGCTGGTGGATTTGAACCACCAACCTTCACTTAGCAGTCAAATGCTTTTACCATTATGCCACCACTGCTCCTTCTATAAAATCAGGGGACTAAAAATCCTTTCTACCTGTACCACACCATGATTAAATTACCTACCATATACCCTCCCAGTTACCATAAAAAAAAAAAAAAAGAAGGAATAAACTAGGGATGCTATTTACTGTTATGTACAAACTTGTGAAAGCTGGAACATATGTAAGGTGGAAACCTGTCAGGGCAGGACAATGCAAATATTCTCCACTAACATGAGTAATAGGAAAATGGTTAGACTGTACCCTGTCAAAGGTGGAAAAATTACAATCCCCAGAAAAACAAGGCAATTCCATGGAATTCTGGCTCTTAGAAGTTTTACTATATTTCCTAAATTCCAAAGTTTTTCATTGAAATGTATCTTTAGGTCCTGATCAATTTTCATCATGACTGACCTACCAGTTATAATAATATGTGAGACTGCTTCCTTAAGTAACTTGTCCAAGGTCCGACTGCTAAAAAATGGCAGTATCAGAGAACTAGACAGGTTCTCTCCAATGACCAAATTCTATGGTATATGCCTTCCTCAGACATTCTCTCTGACTAAATCTCTGGTAACCAACTGCTTTCATTTTTTAAAATGACTTGAAGTCATCAGGAGTATACAGAACAGAGTCAAGTTACCTGAATTAAGTGGGACTTGAACTTCCAACGTAGTACTCTAATCAAGTTAATTAACCAGACAATTCAGCCACTTAAAATGAGGCTGAAGAAACAAACAAAAAAAGAAGCCAAAATTTTAAAGAAAATTTTCTTCAAGACAAACTAAAAACAATTAATTACAAGTGTGGGTGTGGGGGGTGGTTCATTCATATGTACTTTCAGGAGTCAAAGTTGTACAAAATGAAACATTCAATAAAATGACCATTAGATTATCTGTACTATTCCCTTCTTTTTGTGCAAGTATGGAAATAATTAAAAATACCAATAACATTAGGTTACCCATACTAGTGAATGGAAAAATAACAGATGATCGAAAAGTCATATATTTGGCTTTAGAAAGAAAGTGTTATTGTTGTTGTTATGTGCTGTTGAGTCGGCCCCAACTCATAGCGACCCCTCCCTGGGTTTCCAAGGCAGTATCACTATGGAAGTAGATTGCCCCATCTTCCTTTTGAGGAGTGGCTGGTGGGTTTGAACCACCAGCCTTTTGGTTAGCAGTCAAGTGCCTTAGGTACTATGCTACCAGAGCTCCCGAGAAAGAAAGTATATGGTCTAAAAAGATAATCCAAAGTAAAGAATAGCTGGTGTTAAAAATAAAGTTTATGATCATCTATGTACATTTATCTCCCTAATTATAGATTGATTCATACTAAAATCAAGATTAATTTCCAAGTGGTAAGAGAGTCCAGGACAGGTGACTTCTAAACAATAAAATCACCACCTCCTTACATTAGTAGAAAAACCTAACTTTTCATGACACATTCCTATCAGCTCCACAAGGAATAATAAAACCAAGGCATAGAACAGAAGATAACTTATCTAAATGCCCACTGCATACTAGAACCAAGTTAGTGCTTTCCTCTTTGCAATAAACCAATCTGGAATTAAAAATTGACTACGAACAATCCATATATGGATATAAGGTAAACACATTCATACATATACAAACTCACATTCAAATGCCCTGGTCACCAACACATTACAAAATAAAATATTTCTTAGGGCAGATGACAGAAATGGAGCAAGAGGTGAGATCACCTACCACTTTACTCTACTGAAAGATAAGTCATTATGTACTCTACCCACACACTTCCAAAAACAATACACACACCTCAGGTACTGTCATTCTGTAGGGTAACCTAGGAAGGTGTCTGGAATGCACTTTATCAACAAAGAATTAGACTGCAAAAAATTAGAAATGCGAATAAAATCACAGAACATCAAGTAAATGGCAAAGTGTCAACAACATAATGCAGCTACATGAATTAGATGGAGAATTTTTTTCTGAATATAAACTATCTAAAGCTGATTTCCAAGAACTTTTCCAATTAAATGTTAGCGCAAGTTCCTTAGACTTTCACTTGCAGAAGCCCTCTACATAGTGCTTCTATTTTGTGATTCTCACAAGAGCACTAACCCATTATGCATCCTGCTGATAAAACTAGACATGTAGCACCTTAATGAACGAAACCAGAATCACCTACAATATTTGTTAGCTCAAAAACATTCCCTTCACTAGGTGACAGCCACTCCAGAAGGTTGTCACATTCATTGTGAGGTTTTGAGAGAAGCAGTAACAGATGCTGCCAGTGTGTATACACAGTGGTCTGCCTGCATACAGCAAGGCTTCCAGGTTCAGGAAGTTGACCAACCCAGTGGAAAGCTCCATGCCTTCCTCTATGAAAGGGACTGTGTGCTTGGCAGAACCAAAAGTAAACACGGAAAATTCATTCAAGAATTTCCTGAGGGTCTACTGTGCTGCCACTGGAAGCAAGTTAAAACGCTAGGAAGTAGGTACTGGGGGGAAAAAAAAAAAAAAAACCTGCTATCCAGTCGATTTTGACTCACACCGACCCTATAGGACAGAGCAGAGCTGACCCTAGAGTTTCCAAGGCTGTAAATCTTTATGGAAGCAGACTACCACATTTTCTCCCCCAGAGTGGCTGAGGGTTTCGAACCGCTGAGCTTTCAGCGTGCAGACGAGCACTTTAACCACCAACCAGGGCGGACGTTGGAGGCAAGCTAAAACACTGGGAAGCAGGTAATGAAAGCGGACCAGAGTTCACAAATAGTCAGATAATGATCTACCAACTCAGTCTGGGCGGCCCAAACAAGAGGAGACTGTGCCTTTCTTTCTGGAGTTGTGTGTCCCCTCAGGAGGGCTCTGCTCCCTCTAACAGCCTTTACTGCAGGCCTCGGACTGCAAAGAACAGACCCAGGCCTGGCGCACAGAAAGACAAGCTCCCTTCCACCTGGGAGAGCGACCCACCAAGGCCGCTTCAGGCCATGTGGCTGGGGCCGGAGGGTGCCCAAACCCCCGCGCACGTTCAACATAAGCAACTAGACAGAAAGTGCCAGAGGCAATCCAAAGGATGGGATGTTGGGGTTCAAGACTCACTTCCTTTGGGCTTTGTCCTTCTTGGCCTTGGTCCTTTTCTTTCGGGCCTGGAGCGCAAGCACTGCAGAAGAGAGGGATTGATGAAGGGCGAATGTGGAGAAAAGCAGGCGACCAAGGTGAGGGTGGAAACCTAAGAGGGGTGCCAGGCCCCATTGCGGGGCCTGCCTCGGGGGACGCTCCGGAGCAAGCGCCGCTGTTTCGGCAAGGCGGTCGGCCGGGGGGCGAGCGGCCCACGGGGTACCGAGCAGCGACCAGGCGGAATGCACCGGAGGGGGCTCGGGCCGCGTAAGGGGGCTGGTAGGCGTGGGTCTCCCTTGCCCGCCGAAGGCTAGGCTCTGCGGTTGCCGCAAGATTCGGGCCGGCCTGGCACGGAACAAGGGGCGGTGACGGCCGGCGCGGGAGGACGCCCCGGCTGAGGGGCGCGGACCCGCAGCACAGCGTCGGGGGGTGAGGAGCGTCGCCACTTCAATGGAGGGGCGCCTCACGCCCAGGGACTGGACCACGGCCGTTAGGCAAAGCTCCCGGCACTGACCCCGGCCTCGCCCCGGAGGCCGTTGCCCCTCGTGGCGGAGGCCCCTCCACTGCTCACCTTTCCGCTCCATGGCGAGACCGGTAACCGCCAGGCGCCTGCGCACTCGAGTGGCGGTGAGTCCAGCTCCCGCCGCGGCCCAAAATCGAGCCCGCGCACACCCCACCCCCAGACCCCGCCCCCGGGCCCTGCCCCGCCCCAAGACTCCGCGCGCCTGCGCGCTGGGCGCGGATTCTACCACCTGCCCGCGAGGATGGGGGGCAGTAGGGAGTGGGAGGATGATGGGAAAAGGTACTTCGGGTCTGAACGAAAGAGCAGTGTTTGCCATCCAAGTTTGAAAGCTAGGCCGGCTCGTTTTCGTTTCGTTTGCTAGTAGGTAGCCCCTCAGAAAGACGCAGAGGAACGGGGCCTTGAGGTTTCCCTGCGTGCTGAGTCAGAGCTCCGCGGTGACTGGGATCTGCCTCAGTTTTCTCGTCTGTACAAATGCAATCAGGCGTGTCCCAGTTCCTTCGCTGAGGTATTGTAAAGGCCAATGGAGTTACTATGTAAGAAAATGGGAGCGAGGGTGGATAGGATTACATATGAGAAAGAACGGGAAGTGGGAGTAACACAAAAGAAAGACTGGAAAGTAGGCAAACCTATTGTCACTTAAAGAGTGAAAACTTTAGAAGTGAATTTTCTCTTAAAAGTTTAAATGAAGGCTGTTAAATAAAGCGATGGGAGAACAAAAACGTTTAATGTTTTCTCATTTTACCACTTTATATCTTTTTAGTACATTTTAAACGGAGTTGTCTTTCATTTATAGTGTTTTATATTTGGGAGCTCTGGTAGCATAATGGCTAAGACACTTGCCAGCTAACCAGACGGCTGGCGGTTCAAACCCATCAGCCACTCCTCGGAAGGAAGGTTGGGCAATCCTACTTCCGTAGTGACACTGCCTTGGAAACCCAAGGAGGGGTCGCTATGAGTCGGGTTTGACTCGACGGCACATAACAACAATACTTGCCGAAATGCAGTATCTTATTTGATGTTCGTGACAACTTGTAAGACAAGATACTTATTACTGCCACTAAACAAAGAAACTAAGACTTGGATTCTTGGTACCCTAACCAAAAGACTCAATCTTCAAACTCTTACTATAATGCCACTCCTTGGAAGGTTGGGCAATCTACTTCTGTAGTGATACTGCCTCGGAAACTCAAGGAGGGGTCGCCATGAGTCGGGGCTGACTCCAGGGCACATAACAACAACCACCACCACCACATTATCAGGGAGGTTGAGCAATCTACTTCCGTAGTGATGTTGTTTTTGTTGTTGTTATGTGCCGTTGAGTCGGACTCGACTCATAGCGACCCCTCCTTGGGTTTCCAAGGCAGTATCACTACGGAAGTAGATTGCCCCATCTTCATTCAGTATAAGTATGATAAGAGGTTACAATTAGGATGCAAATGTGGTCTGGACAAAATAAAGTGAAATATGGGGTGGATTTTTGGTTACATAAAAAGTGTTACAAAAAGGTGCTTATTTCTTCCTAAACCCTTTTTGAAATGTAATTACAAATAATATCAGTGTGATAGTTGAAGATGTGTCAACTTGGCTGGACTCCAGTTGTGAATGGTGTTTCCCATGATCGGATCAGATGACTGAGTTCTGAGCGGCCGGTCTGCCCAAGGGGAGTTTCCCCAGGGGTGTGGCCTACCT